CCCTCCCATACAAGCGTCAAAGCAGTGAGACCCCTTTCCACACAATGTGGTGCATGTTCTTATTTCTGTTCCCAAATGGGACAGAGATACAGATTTTCTTGAATCACTGCAGACATGTTTGTTTCTACATTCCAATAACCTACAGATTCTAGTTCACATTTCAGATAATCTCAAATAGGAAATAGGAGAGGAAAGGTGCTGACCTCAGTTTTCAGCTAGTAGCCTGATTTCACCTTCTCTTCTATTCACTCAACCGTGGACAGCAGCACAAATCTTCTGTTGCCAACAGATCCTTACTACGAGCAACATCCCTGATTACTTCAGCTCTGTATAATGAGATCAGGAGTTGATGAGCTCTGCAAAAAACAGCAAGAAATGCTCCTGGTGAACATAGGTTGGTTCTGCTTATTATTTTTATTGTTAATGGCAAGGTATCCCAACCCAACTACAGGTGGCGTTGCCAGGGAGAGCTTCTTTGTATCATGGCCGGAGACATTTTGAGTCACTTTCTGTCACAGAAACCTTCGCATACTTTAAAATTATCTATCCGTACAAGGAATCCCAAATGCTGGTAGCAGCTGCAGAACCATTTGCTGCGGGTGCAGTCTTTTAGACTCTCATGTTGGAGCTGCAAAGGTCTGGGGCTTTGTATGGCCCTCGAGCCACAGCAAGGCACCGGGAAGGAAAATCATCAGGAGGGCTGCTTTGCACAGGTAACATCTTTAAAGAAGAAGCTGTACTTGCACCCAGTTTACACCAGATGGCCACATTCAGCTACCACTCCAGAGAGACAGGATAGAAGTTCCATACTTTTGTAAATGAGGCCAAATAAATAATTTAGGTGCTGAAATGCAGAATTAGGAGTCCAACTTTAAATCTTCAGGAACAAAATGTAAGGTCTTTTTGTGCAATCTTATACAGAACCTGGGTAGCACGGCCACAGGGCTCACAAACTAATAAGAGAGTAGCTTATTTCTGTCAGCTACACCTACCTTAGAGATTTAAATGGCAGAAACAGGAGATCAAGAGTTAAAGGCCTGAGAGTTGCCCTGTGCTTTACTCTAGAATCTGTGGGGAGTAGTTAGGAAGAGAGCGGTTGTCCCTCTCCTTGTGCAGACCTCCAATCAACATCATTGCATTTATCTTTGTGAGGTGATTCCTAGACAACCATGATTCTGAGGCCATTAAATGTAACCAAGCTGTGAAGCAGCTCTTAGGAGCTGAGAATATTTACTTCCATTCCAGCCTAAGAAATGCCATTTCATCACAAAGGGAGAGAAACAGACAGTACCTGAGGGTATATCTACAGAATCAAGTTCTCTCAACAAACTAATATGGACACCTCAAAAAAATCAATAAAACCCTGTGTACACATATCCCACAGTGCAATGTTATGGGAAGGCAGAGCTGATGTCAGTTTGGGAATCCCTCTGAACTCTCCCACAGCCTCCACAGCTGCTAGGAGCAGCATCATGAATAACTCTGTGAGTTCTCTGTGCTGAGGAATGTCAAACCAGCACAACAGACTGACCCTCCTGCAGCCACAACATGCTGCTGTGTTCCTACTGCTTTTTGTTCCCCGAGCAGGGCAGCTCACTTAGCTGTCAGTTAGTTCTGGAAGCTTTGAAAGGGGAGAGGCACATGCTTTCAGGGCAGCAGAGATCAAAATATTGAGCAGAACGTTCAGGTCAGCAGAGATCAAAACACTGAGCAGAGCGTTCAGGTCAGGCATTGTGGGATACTAGCAGAAGCCAATTCTGTCCACAAAACAAACAGCAGAGTCTTCACTGAATCTTTGCCCACAAAAAGGGGAGGGGTAAAGCATCTTGCAGGAATGGACATTTTTTGTCACCAAAACTGGGAATTTTTCCCAACAAAAGTCGTATTGCAGTGTGTACAAGGCAGTTTTGGGTGACAAACCTTGGTCGTATGTTTCTCCCCCACCTCCATTTTTTCCTCTCCCCTCCTCCCTTCCTCACTTACTTATTTTTGGATATGGATTTCCAACACTCCAGCCATCTGAAGAAGTGGGTTGTGCCCACAAAATCTCATGATACCATCTATACGTTTTGTTAGTTTTTAAGGTGCTGCTAGACTATTTGTTGTTTTTTAAGTTTTTCTTGGGACTGTGGACATACCTATCATATGGGCTTGTTTGGCACTCATCAAAATCAAGTTCTGAGACAGGAAAGGTGCTGCTAGACTATTTGTTTTTTACGTTTTTCTTGGTACTGTGGACATACCCATTATATGGGCTTGTTTGGCACCCCTCAAAATCAAGTTCTGAGACAGATGGAAACATCTGGGGACCACCATCTCCATCAACAGAATACTAGTTTATCGAGAACGGAGGACGAGGGCCCAGCAGGTTGCACTTGCCTATTTTGTCCCTGGCTTCTCTGAACCACAATTTGAATATTTCACACCCAAGTGACACTGCCCTGCAGCTCTGTGCCCTTATAAATGCTGCATGTCACTGCTGATCAGCATCAGACCAGCCACACGGAGCAAGATGATGTCACAGGCTCAGCTCATCTGGCTGTTAGTGTTCTGGGTCTCTCTGCTGTTCTATTCAGCGTGACAGCTGCTTCCTCAACATTTCACACCCAAGTGATGCTGCCCTGCAGCTTGTGCCCTTAAAAACGCTGCATGTCACTGTTGATCAGCACCAGGCCCGTCAGATGGAGCAAGATGATCTCACAGTCTCAGCTCATCTGGCTGTTAGTGTTCTGGGTCCCTGTGCTGCTCTATTCAGAGTGGCAGCTGCTTCCTCAACAATCCCCTTCTCACTACAACTCACAGCAACGCTCACTTACGGCCCTATAGTCACACAGTGAGCATGTCAGAGTTCAGACAGACATGGACAGCCCAGGGCTATATTGGCACTGCTGACACACAACGCTCACTTACGGCCCTATAATCACACAGTGAGCATGTCAGAGTTCAGAAAGACATGGATAGCCCAGGGTTCTATTAGTGCTGCTGACACGTGGGGGGAAGCAGGGAACCTTAGAGCTCTCTGGGGCTGCCAGGGATTGGAAAGGCTGAATTGGCAGCAAAGGAATGACTCACGGTGCTCCCCAGATCAATGATTTACCAGACACATGGCAGGACACTGGCCAGCTGTGTTAGGAGCAGCATGGAGCCCGGATTTGCTAGAGGGAAGAAGGTACAAGAACATGGGGGTCCGTGGGGGAATCAGGAATTGGGGCCTTGTGGATTTGTTTGGTTCACACAAACCAGTGCTGAGCCCTGGAGGTGCTGGCTGCTTCCCTAGGGTTTGAGATCCACCCAGCTGGTCTCTTCAGAGTCAAGGTGCTAAAGATTCACATGGGATCTGGGCACTAAAGTATCTGAGAAGCTTAAGTGTAGCTTGAAGTGGGTTGTATACACACAAGCTCATGATTCCATCTACATGTTTTGTCTTTAAGATGCTGCTAGACTATTCGTTGTTTCTTACGTTTTTCCGGTTACAGAGTAACTCGGCTACCCCTCTGAAGCTTGTGACTTGATTGATGGCTTGTGCTGGCATCCCCCTGGGGAGAATTAGAATCCACAGAGAATTAACCTTGACACACAGCTTGGATATCGAGATAGCAGCCAGATCTTATGCAAGAGCAGTATACACAAATCATGCGCTGTATACAGCCATGCACCATGCCGCATGAGATGTACGGTTACACAGAGCAGGTGTGTTCACTGGAGCATTTTCCATATTTTCACATGGTACGACAGGCCCCCTACCCATTGGAGCAAACACAACAGCAGAATGGACAAAAATATTGTCTTCATTTCAGTTCTTCCCACTCGCTCACTTCAATGGCAAGTTCACTGAAAGTTAATGAGAGCTGCTGGTGCTAAAATGGTTAAGGACACTGATGGCAGAAATGATCGAGTCACTAAACATGGACAATAACTCCTTTGTTTAATGAATAAATAGATTTAAAATGCAAAACATGTTCTGAAAAACTCCCTGATTATTTCAGCACGTGTTCTATAGTTTTATAAACTAATTTGGAAAATGTAAAATGCTAGGATTTGACATTTTTAATTGAACGCTAATCTCCATGTGGAAATCCTGACCCACATTCCAAAAAAAATCAGAAAAAGCTACACAAAATACGGAGTGCATTTTGCGTAGCTTTTTCCCAGAAAAAGCGGCGGTGTAGACCTAGCCTCAATGACATTTCCTGGGAGAGCTGGTAGGCATATTATAATTTGGAAAATGAGGACAAATATTTCAAGGGATAAAATATGGACTTAGGAGTCTAGCATTGCATCTCCAGGAAAGAAAATTAATTTATTTTATCTAGAAAATAGAGAGCAATGCTACAGGGCTCACAAACTATTTAAAGGGCTCTCTAATGTAACAACTGAAAAATCCAGCAGTCTAGACGTAGCCTTACTGAATTAGCTCATGGAAATAAGTAGATAAAGCATTTGAACATGCTTACGCTTAGCAATATTACCAGCACTTGTACTGCTTGCTGGGCTCTTAGAAGACATTTCAGAATAAAATAGAGCTAAATAACAGAGCAGAACATGTGAGCCAAGCTTGCTGGATGTAAAACAAATTTTAGGGGGCTGCAGGAAACGTGGCCACACCCACAATAATCGAACAAATCGCTAACTAAAATCCTGCCAGATTAGAGAGGATAAAAATGTACAACTATGATTGTGAATTTATTAAATGTAAATTAGCTACAGAGAAATATTAAGAAAAAGAGAAGGGAACTCTGGGTCCCACACTCACTATTAATGGATCTACCATTTGGCTGAAGCTTGAGGATACCTCCCAACTGCCAAACAAGTCCAACTTGCCTATGTCACCCTCTGTCTCTCGTTTCCCTTTTTCTGCACGTGTTTAGCTCAGCTGGGATTTTTTCTCTGCACTAAATTTGCATATTTCACACCCAGGTGACAGTGCCCTGCAGTTCTGGGCCAGCATAAATGCCCCATGTCACTGGTGACAGGTTGCTGATCTGCATCAGGCCAGGCAGACGTAGCAAGATGGTCTCACACGCTCAGCTCCTCTGGCTGTTAGTGCTCTGGGTCCCGGGTAAGAATCAAAAGAAGGGGGCGTGGGATAACTTACGCCACCATGAGCCACAGAAAATATTAATGGCTCTAGGACTGTTCTGTGTGAATCCCAACACATGAATTAGCGATATTAACTTTTGAGAAGCGGAACTGTGAGGGAGAGAGTAGCAATGGAGGACAGCTTGGAATCAAACAGACACCTCAAACTTAATGTTAGTATCAGTGTCAGAGATGACCTGCCATAAGTACGTAAAGAGGCATCTGACAAAGTTTACCATATCAAACTTGGTTCATTTTCATTAACTGTAACATTGGAATAAATTATATATGAGAGAGAGAGAGAGAGAGACATGACATGCACACTGTAATTTATATGCTCTTCTTTCTTTCAGACTCCAGTGGGCAGATAGTGCTGACTCAGACTCCAGAATCCCTGGCAGTGTCTCCTGGAGACACAGTCACTATCCGCTGCAAAGCCAGTTCCACCCTCACCAGTGGTAGCTATCACTACCTAGCCTGGTACCAACAGAAATCAGGGCAAGCGCCAAAGCTCCTTATCTATGCTGGAAGTTCCCTGCAATCCGGGGTCCCAGCCCGGTTCAGCGGCAGTGGGTCTGGCACAGATTTCACTCTCACAATCAACAGGGTAGAAGCTGAAGATGCTGGAGATTATTACTGTCAGCAGTATCGGAACTTACCTCACACAGTGATACAGACCCATACAAAAACCTCCCTGTTCTGTTCCTTTCAGAGTAACAGCTGCTTCCTCGCTACAGTGTAACCTACCTTTCAGACAGAGTTGTGAAAAACATTTCAGCACCACAGACTCCTTCCGCACTCCTCGCTGAGCACTGAACCATCTATGACATTGTTGGCACTTTCCCAAAACCGGTGTCCAATTTTCAAGCACCACTCTCAACCCAGTGCCAAGCAGCAGCAAATATTCTGGGCCTGCAGGTCAGCTTCTCATGGAAGGGGAAATCAGTGAGCGATATGGAGTCTGAGTATCCTAAGCCATTCTTCATTTATTTGCACATCTACCTCGGACCTGGGAGCGGAGGTGATCACAAGCCTGAGAAACCCTTCTCTCAGGAATCTATCCCAACACCATTCTCCATAGATGGCAAAGCTGCTTAAAGAATTCACTCTAATCAGACACCCCAGCAGAGAAACTCTCCTGCTTCTCTCTCATCTCCCTTTCCTCACAACCCTGCATAACCCAAATCAGCAACACCACAGCATGTCTTCCCAAAGCTACGCATTTGCTCACACATTCAGAAAAACAACATAAAAGCGTTTGCATAAGAGCGCCACCTGGTGATTCCGCCCCTAATATTAACACACTGCGGTATATTGTCCAGCCAGACAAGATTACTGCTAAAAAATTTTCACTAAGAAATGTTTATTGTACTGGCTGAATTTAGGGGGCACTTTTCCCCGTACAATCTTATTCCTTGGATCCCCAAAAAAGTTCTTTTCATGTCATCTTGTAAAACCCGGCTGGCCAATTCAGGATTAAACCAAAGAGAGTTCTCTTAGGGCTTTATTAGCAAATATCATTACCATGGACAGGCTTGGAAGAACAGACAAAAGATCTTGGCTGCACCTTGCCTTCCTTGGCTGGAGGGAAGATCACAACTACCTGGGGCCCTGAGGGGGAAACTGGGCAGTTGTCAGGTTCACAAGTGAGCTAGTATAGAAAGAAGCTCAACAGAATATTTCCTCCTTTGTTGTGGGCATTTGACATGTTTTCAGGGCTGGGGACAGTGGTGGGGAGTTGAGGATCCATCTGCTTTTACTCCAGCTGGTGCTAACCAATGGAAGTGCTGGCAGCTTTGCAAAGATCTTCTTCCATTGAGCCCCACCCGACTGCACCGTCAGCATCCAGATCCCTGCAGAGAGGACAGGGCCACTGACAAGCTCTGCTGGAGGGATTCTGCTAACAGCATCATGGGGTTGCTCCTCAGACCTGTTTGCTACTCAAAGGGCCAGGCCATCCCCAACTGACTTTCAGCAACCGAATACAACAAACACTACAACATCCAATACTACAGAGCTAATCCTACCCCAGATTACTTGGTGCCCTCCTCCTGACTACACCCTGGAAAATCAACTGGCCTTTACAGTCTTTTTAGTGTCTCAGCAATCTCCAGAATATGATAGAACTAAATCATGGTACTGGTTTATATAGACATGTTTTTTTTTCTTTCCTTGACTAATTTTTCATCTCCAGTGGCCCCATTTCCTGGGTCTGGTACCTGAGAAGGTGATTAACAATTTGAATGCAGTATAAAGTTATTCTTAGTCATATTTTTCCTTTCTAGAGATCATTAATCATTTGATCCAGAAATATCTGAGATGCAGCACCTTTCAAAATAGGCTGCTTTAAATTTTACCAATACCCTTTTTTAAAGCCGACACAGAGAAGGGAAACCCCAGGAAAGAAAAATGCTGTGTTTAAAAGTAACTCAAATGTTTAGAAATCCCAAAACCTGCTCACAACTACATAAAAATGGGTGACATTTTCCAAGAAAATTGTGAATCCGGAGACTTTGCATGTCTCCCCTCATATACTAGCAAAATTCATCCATTCATAATGCCTTAAAAGAATGTCATGTCAAAGAGCAATAAAAATCAAGTTCATTCATCTTCAGTTGATGCTCTTGCATCAAAATAAAGTAAACTGAAGACAAAGAAATCCTGCAATGTACATGAAGGATTCTGTGATCAGCATTTCTTTTTGCTAACCGTGAAGTTCCATTGTCACACAATTTTAGCAACTACAGAAACAGTATAAACAATGAGTAGTCTTGTGACCCCTTAAAGATGAACAAATGTATTTGGTCATGAGCTTTCATGGGTAAAACCGACTTCATCAGATGACAGGCTCTGTATGGTCCTGGAGCCACAGCAAGGCAGCCGGAAGGAATATTATCAGGAGAGCTCAACTACCATTCTAACTACCATGCTGGAAATTCACTGCTTTTGTAACTGAGGCCGAATAAATATTTTAGGAGTTGAAATACAGAATTAGGAATCTCCAGGAACAAATCTTAAGGTCTATTCATGCAATATTGCACAGAACCTGGGTAGCACTGCCACAGGACTCATTAACTATATAATGGGAAACTTGCCTATTTCTGTCCACTACATCTACCTTAGGGATTTCAATAGCAAAAATAGGATGTCAAAGGTTAGAGGCCCCACAGACTTCCCCTTTCCCCTCCCTCCCGGGGCATTACTACAGTGTCCATGAGGTGATGACTTCTCTTTTTCTGCGGGCTTTTCGGTCAGCTGGGAATTTACATCACTGAACCACAATTTGTATATTTCACACCCAAGCGACACTGCCCTGCAGCTCTGTGCCCTTAGAAATGTTCCATGTCACTGGTAGCGTTTTTTGATCAGCACCAGTCCAATCAGACTCATCTGGCTGTTACTGCTCTGGGTCCCAGGTAAGGATGAAAGGAAGGGGGTCTGGATCATTTAAGCCACAAAGGTCTAGGACAAAATTTAAGAGAGCTGGAAATATTGTATACCACTGCATAATCATTCTACTCTTCATGACAGCAACTTCTGAAACAATTGCACCTGACTGCAACTAAAAGGGAAAAGAGATCTGAGAAAAATAAAAAAAAAAGTGAAAACTGGGAATGAAAAAACCCCGCTCAAACAATGTTAGCATCATTCTCAAAGATGCTAAATATTCACTGGAATACTTATCTATGTTGTTTTGATTACATATAGTATTGACTATAGTATTTATATACATGATATTATTTATTTATGCTATGTGTATGAACTAAAGACAAAGAGCCTGTACATGTACATACTAATTAATATTCTGTTTCTTACTGCAGACTTCACTGGGCAGATTGTGCCAACTTAGATGCCAGAATCCCTGGAAGTGTCTCCTGGAGACAGTCACTGTCGTCTCCAAAGCCAGTTCAAGTCTTACCCGCAGCAGCAGAAGGAATAAACCTGGTCCCAAATGAAACCTGCACAAGCTCCTAAATTCCTGACCTGTTATGCTTCTGCACCACAACCTGGGTCCCATCACACACCAGCAATGCACTGTGGTGAACCAAAAACTTGGACCACATCCGATCTGTGTCCACAATAATTCACTTGTAACTGCCCCACAAACCACACTCCACCTTTCATACCCATCCGCATCCACAGCTACACCAACAGCCCTATACATATAAAAATGTTTTGATCTGTATCCAATCTACGATCCCCAAAGATGGTAAAGAAGTGAGCCACACCATGGATGCAGATATCCATGGATTTATGGGGCTGTACACATCCCAGTGCCGGATTTATGCACAAGCTAAACTACAGTTTAGAGCCACATATTATGATAGCACTCAGAATACAAAAAATTACTAGTTTTCAGTTGCATCCTCACCTATGAACTGGTATATATGCAACTATAAACCTTTATTATTTCTATTTTCATTATCCTTTCTGTTAAAATAATACACTTTTTTTGGTGATGTCATAGGGTGTGTTAAACTTCAGATTGTTTAAAGTCTCTGCATGTCTTAATCCATTATAGGTGGTCTGCAATGGATTTCGCTCTCACAGTCAGTTCTGAGCATTAAGGTTGGCAGAGCTAGAAACTCAAAAATTAAAAACATAGCTCAGACAGGTGAGCTGCTTCTGTAACTTTGTCATCTGGTTAGCAAGAGTAGCTTGAACATAATCTAAACAGAGGGGGACAAAAACAGGCAAGCATATTTTGTGAAATATTTAATAGAAATTTCCTTTTCATGTAAGTTGAAGTTCTATCAACTTAGTCATTTCCATGCAGACAAAAATTCAAAACAATTCTTCGGAAAAACTCCATTTCATTTTTTCACGCCTCCATTCTCCCAAACACACATTCCTCCATCCTTTGGAAAGTGTCTCCAGAAGAAGGATAAAATAGTGGTGGAAAATATTCGGTAGGGGATCAATGAACTGACAGTGTATAGTTGAAAAAACGTTGAAGTATTTTGTGTAACACTTCAATCAGCTCTCCCTCTAATATCTTTGAACATAAAGTTGATTTTCTACATACGCACCACCAGATGGCATCAGTTTACTAGTTTTTCCTTCCTTGCTGCTGGATGTTAAGTGCTTTGAAAATCAGGCCAATTATTTTCAATGTCTAAATATGGCCCTTGGAGTCTAACATTAGGACACCCGTGTTAGAAATTCACCTAAGTTCATAACAACATCAAAACAATCAGAAGATTCACAGTTACAAGTCTCTAAGATGGTGAGTAGCAGGAGGTATGAGGCCAGATGATGGTGGCCCATTACCCAGTCCCCCTAACAAGGGAGATTCACACCATTTATAGCATGCACTGAGACATTTCTAGTATAATACAAAAACCAAGTTCATTAAATTTAAACTGGCATCCAGGTAACAATGTTGCACTGTGACCACTTATTTCCATTCAACCTTCTCAAATGCCATTTCAACAGAATGCAAGCATCCGGAACCATGAATTCCTACATCTCCCATTGTGGAGCACTGATCCTAGAGATAGGAAGGACTGTGGGTTTGTATATGTCTGTGGTCACCAATCAGTTCGTCGTGATTGATTGGTCGATCACAGGTGCACTGTCAATCGATCGTGAGGTAGTGTTCCCAGCTCCTACTTATCCCCCCCTCAGTACCAATGAGGAACCCGCACTGGTGCTACAGACTCCCATAAAAATAGAGCTAGCTCCAGGTTCCTGTAGCGTGTGGGGGAAGTCCCATGGCTCTGCACTGGATCCGGCTTCTCA